AAGCAGTTAAAAAGGATGCAAAGATCTAAACTAGGTATATGAAAGAGATACCATTTGTCAATAGAAGGTATACAATTTGGGGTACCCTTTCTGTCAAAAATGGTATAATTACAAAAGGGTAAGGGATTGGAAATCAGTGTAGAGCCTCCCCATACAAAAGTGAGTTGAGTACCCCCTTCCCCCAGTACAAAAACAACAATTACAAACGACAGTTAGGGTTTTGACAGATGTGGGCAAATTTCATTGCAATGTTGCCTGATGAATGAATGGTTACACGTATTTACAGCTCTGACTCCTACCACGAAAACCACTATCACCAACCTTATCAGAAGAATAAAAAAAAACCTACTTGAGTGAACATCCAACATGAATGAATGAAAGTGAACTCTCTGCTTCTTTTCCATGGGAACTTCATTGTAAAATAAATCCATCAACAGTGTCTTGCCACAACCTTCATGTTATACATGTAATAATAATATTATTTATGTAGTACAATAAAGATTAGAAAATAGTATGTATGTGCAATACATGTACGTCATATAAATCACAAAAAAACTCAACTACAGTGACTGATACCTTATACAAAGCTAATGTATGTACTTTCAAATACAATCCCCAATATTGTAATTTAAAATGAAATTCAGGCTAAAAAGCTTTCCAATTTCCCTTGTCTTGAAATTCTCAGTGATCATGATGAATAATGAATTAGGATAAACAGGCAAGGAAGATTGAGCTAATCAAAGTAGGTTAAGGTGAGCAAGGGTCATTTTTTACTTACTATTAATGTGACTGTGTGATACAGTTAAGCCTTAATGTGTTGCTTGTGATGGACTGTGTGACTGCGAGATGTGGTTCGCAAGTTCTGATCTGATCTAATTTCTGCCTTGGTCAGTACATGTACCCTATGGCATGGTGATCTTGTCCCATTAGTTATCAAGGGGAGAATAGAGGGGCCACCTGGACGAACTTGAGTGGGAATGCTGGATAGAGTGAAGGATGCAAGGCAGCCCTTATGTAACGGTCAAGAGGCGTGCCTTAGAACAAGAACTATAAGGAAGGACCTACCTGTGGGCAGAACACATGCAAACACACACACACATTTCTGATCAATACATTTGGAGGGGGGCTTATATCCAGGGAGCTTACAATAACTGTAACCAGTCGGAAGGGTTTTTTTGTTTACAGGTAGATGGTCTATAACTGGGTGGGGGGGGTGGGGAGGCTTATAAGCAGACAAGGTTATAAGCTGCAGCTTACAATTTGTGCAGTTTCCTTGTCAGAGTGACAAAGAAACTCTAAATGAATAGAACATTTACTGAAGAGAGAGAATTCCTACCTACACTGCCATAAAGATACAATCCAGAGGGTGTCTTTTGTTTACTACCTAATCTAAAAAACTTGAAAAACAAACAAGCAAATGAAGTAACAGAAAAGATTAATTATTATCTATGAAAAATAAGAAAATTGAGGCCAAATTACAGATTACAGTATTCAAAGTGGTATGTGTAAAATTATTTTTTCATGCTCAATCAATGTTTACGACTGTAAGTCTTTGCTTATTATCGTCTGAGTGATTTTAAAGTACTTCAACAAATAAACATGCCTTTTAGGTTCTGAAAACCTAGAATCAAGTCTGGAGACTTGAGAAAAAGGCAGAAAACTGAGCAAAAGCTGTACAATTATCAGACCTCACCTTGTCAAAACAACTTAAACAATTTATTGCCACACACAATGGATCTTTTTCCTATACTGACTGCACTTTTTAGAAAACCAGTAATATTCTTCTTCTTTCATTATTATTATTATTACTATTATTATTATTATTATATCATTAGCATTATCATTATCATTAGCAATAGTAGTAGCAGTGTCCAGTGGCAGGCACAGTGGCAGTCACAGTGCTAACAGATCCAACTACACTGTAGTTTCAAATTAAACTGATTCATGTATGGACCTGGGTTGGCAGTAATAATGCANATAAACATGCCTTTTAGGTTCTGAAAACCTAGAATCAAGTCTGGAGACTTGAGAAAAAGGCAGAAAACTGAGCAAAAGCTGTACAATTATCAGACCTCACCTTGTCAAAACAACTTAAACAATTTATTGCCACACACAATGGATCTTTTTCCTATACTGACTGCACTTTTTAGAAAACCAGTAATATTCTTCTTCTTTCATTATTATTATTATTACTATTATTATTATTATTATATCATTAGCATTATCATTATCATTAGCAATAGTAGTAGCAGTGTCCAGTGGCAGGCACAGTGGCAGTCACAGTGCTAACAGATCCAACTACACTGTAGTTTCAAATTAAACTGATTCATGTATGGACCTGGGTTGGCAGTAATAATGCACTGATACACTCAAAAAACAATCAAGTTAATACTGTCAGTCATTCCCTACCTTACTAAGGAACCCAGTATTGCTGGGTTGATAATCAAGCATTTCACTATATAATCTTTGGAGATGTTCAACAATCTGCCGTTGATATCTGTCAAGCTTAAGTTTTCCATTTCTAACCATTTCATCATACTTTTTAAGAGGACCAGCCTCTTGGCTATGGAAATCTGGATGAGGTACTCTTAATATGTCATCTGAAAATACATAAAATAAATAAATAAATACAATTCATGTTAAATAAATAAATACAATTCATGTTATTAACTTGAAAACATAAAACAACAACAACAACAACAAGTTGGGTTTTACTCTTAGCTAGCAGAAATATGTGGCCAGAATATGCTGGTACTTCCAAGAATCTTCAGATTCCTTGGAAATTATAGACCTTTGCACGGTATTTTCAGCTTTTGACATGGACAAGTTTGGGAAAATTTGTCGACACCACTGAAAAAGTGTCTTGAAATTAATAAAACTGCTAAGTTTGAAAGCGATTTGTTGAAAGTTAATAAAGATACAGCTCCTCAAAGTCACAAAACTTTACAGACTTTTGTATGGTGAGGGGCACAAACTTACACCCCGCCATACAAACATCTGTAAATTTTCGGAACTTTGTGGAGCTATACCTTTGCTGGCTGAAGATGTTATCGCTTTCAAATTTGGCAATAATTTTACTAATATTAAGGTGCTCTTTTCGGTGGTGTCAACGGGTTTTCTCTAACTGGCCTGTATAAAAAGTTGAAAAAACCATGAAAAGGTCTATTGCCAGAAAAAATCTCAACTTTAATAAGGCCACAAACAAATCTTGATGCTATGAAACGTTACTGCTAGTCTTCTGAAACGCTCTAGAGTCATTTTGCCCCCCTTACTTACCCCCATATTTTAGAACGAGGAATATTACATTAGAAGCGCGCTTGTTTTGCTTTACGGCTTACAGAACGAGGAACGTTACATTTGAAGCGCCCTTAATGACTCGAAAATAGGGGGCTAAGTAACCGCGACGAAATGCAATGACTTGGGGCAATATGACGGGTTACCTCTGAAACGACAAACTGTCAAAAATGTTTGATAAATCGATCATGATTTTTACATGAATGCTTGTTCTCATATTGATACTCTAAAACCTTTACTAAGTTCTCAGCATGAAACAAAGACAGACCATTCACAGAATAATTCTTAAAATAATATATATGCTTAGCTTATGAAAAATTGCGAAATGAACCTTTCTTCGACCCGAAACCGGTTTCCTCCGAAATCTAGTATACACAATATCAGTCTAGTTTTAACTGTATTCTCTGGAATTACCTTAATTTTCTTAAAAGAAGAACTAAAATAAATTATGCTTACTAGCTGTCCCGGTTAAAGTCGATGAAAACCGACAAATTTTCACAGAAAGACGGACAAAATCACGTCGGAAACAACATCTTACGACGGCCATTTCTTGTATGACGTCAAGGAAGATGCTCCCAGTTCCTCGCGATTGCTGCTCTTGGTGCGTGGTCACCAAGGAGTCGTTTCCAAAAACAACTTGATTTAATTTAAACGATAAAAATAAGTAAGTAGTGGTCTTTAGTCGCCTATGCTATGGGATTATTCGACAGATTATCAAACTGGCTAGGGCTGAAAAAGAAGGAGATCAATGTCCTTTGTATAGGACTGGACAATAGTGGCAAAACTACCATTATAAACAAACTAAAACCCGAGAAGGTTAGTTTGCCATGCTGTTTGTGTTTGCCGATGATGAGATTGATCTTTTTAATATTTACTCTTGTTTTAACACTGGATGTTTTTCTACAAATTTTCCATTTTTTAGACTCAAGCGCAAGATATTGTACCCACGGTAGGCTTTACTGTGGAAAAATTCATATCACAAAGGTAAATGTTAAATACTGATTATAACAAGCTACACCTACCCAAATAAGCTTTTGGGTATGTAATTTTTAATTTAAAAAATACGATTAAGTTGGTGGTTTCACGCGGAGTTTTGTTAACCTTTAACTCTTCAAGCTTTTAGTAACTTAAAGATTAATATTTGGTTTATTCAACAGTCTTAACAGAGGTGAACTATTTTGAGATTTAAGCTTTATATAAGTTGTTAATTGTTAGACGTAGCTTAGCTTATGTGCGGGATTTTACCCGCCACAAATTCCCACCATTTGTACAGAAAATGGTAAAGCAAGAAAATTCCACTTACACTATATACGGAAGTGTTTCGTTGGAAAGTGTAAAAATTATTCATCCTTTCAACTGTGGCAGAATTAGTTGAGTCAGTAGAGCGCTTGACTGCAAAGCTAGAGGTTTCGGGTTCGATTCCCAGGGCCAGACCATTACTCAGGGTCTTAAAGTACTGTAAAATTCCCGAAAATAAGCCCCTCCATGTATAAGCCCCTCCAAATATAAGCCCCCCAAAACTGTAACACAAAAAACCCTCCGTTAAATCGCCCCTCCAAATATAAGCCTCCCCTGGGGGCTTGTTCTTGGAATTTGCCCTCGAATACAAAGTTATGTAAAACAAAGCAAAAATGGTAAATGTCCTTCCCACTACAAGCTAGCCCAATCGACTTTGAAACTCAAATTTCCCTCTGTAGATAAGCCCCTCCGAATATAAGCCCCTCCAAAAATAAGCCCCTCAAAAAGGGCCTTTGAAAAATATAAGCCCCGGGGCTTATTTTCAGAATTTTACGGTAACTGACAAATGAAGTTACTCCCTTTGCAGTGCAAGCTGCGAGACCTTTGCGTGGCTTGGATGACCGTGTAAAATGGCGGTCCCGTCTCCATTAGGAGACAAAAAAATAGCGTCCCCAATTAGCGCTTTTGTGCTTAATACATTGACACTCAAATAAAGTGCATTTTACATTTTTTTTTCTCTGTTATCCCTGCCTGACATACTTTTAATTTTATTTTGCAAATTAATTTTACTAGTCTCAACTTTACTGTGTTTGATATGTCTGGCCAAGGAAGATACAGAAATCTGTGGGAACATTATTACAAGTAAGTTTGCTTTAAGCAGGGTATTTTGAAGGTGATTTAGACCCAGTTCAATTACTGTGTAATTCATAGACTGATAGCATCAACCTAATTGATGACATTAGCTGTGGTCACACTACAGACTTTTACCTAGGTAAAAGCAATTTACCTAGGGTAAATTCATAAAAAATCCCCCGAGGTAAATTCATCTCGGGTTTTGTTTTACCTACAGTAGGTGAAAATTCTGGGAAGGTCACACTACTGATATTGGCTCCCAAGGTTTTCATGCCAGTTGAATTTTTTGGAGCGTACAGATACACAGGGATCTAGCTGATCAAAGAGACGTTTTTTTTCTTTTATGTCGCTGTTATTTCTTACACTATTCAACGTGCAAGATGAAGAAAGCCAAAGACGTAGATGACTCAAGCCCCCAAAATTTCTTTCACAGCGTGAGCTATGTGCGGTTCTGTCATCAAGACCTCCACCGATGAGCGTCAGTTGGCTAGCAACCTCGGTATTTCATTTTTCCCTAGCTATCGCTTTGGGGTAGCTGTCAAGGGAAACTCTTTTGTTCTCGAGACATATCCAAGACCCAGACGATAAAATTTCCCCGAGGTAAGTCACCTAGGGAAAAATTGGTAACACTTTAAAAATCAAGTTTTCCTAAGTAGACTGTCAACAACTCAAATTTACCTAGGTAAAAAGTCTGTAGTGTGACCACAGCTATTATATAGGGACAACAGTCCTAGCATGGGGCCATTTTAAGCAGTTTGGTTTGTAGCCTGAGAAAACCGTTGACATTTCATGATGCCACCAATAGTTTCCCCGCGAAATGATTTCTGAGGAGCGAGTGCAGAAAATTCATACTGATGATGTGTCACTACCCTGATCAGGGTAGTGCTACTGCACAGGGTTCCAAATTGGTGACTCTGATTGCTAAGATAGTTACCCTGCAGCTAATTTGTGTTGATATCATGCCATGCAGTTAGCAATCACAATTCAAGGTGTGGTACCTGATAAAATAGATGTGTTTAAGCTAATTCCCATCTTATATATTTCAGTGCTAATTATAGGGAAAGTTTGCGTTTTATGTACATGTGTAAGAGCGTGTCTGAAACTGTTTGTAAGATGGGCTTTTTTTGCTTTCATAAATGACCCTAATGCATTGGCTGTCACATGGTCTCACGTTACATCAGACTAATGATTATTTTAAAGGTTGCAGGTGACACCATAAATCCAAAAATTAATTAAATAGCTAATGAAAATTTTGAAGTCAAAAGTCAAGTCAAAGCTCTCGTAAGTGACGGCATCAGAAATTCAAAAAAGTGGTCGTAACTAGTCAAGAGCTCTCATTAGTGACTGCATTGTAAAACAATAGAGGGTGGTCGCTTACAAGAGCTTCAGAAAGGCATTAATGATTCTGTGACTGGTCATTGCCATGCAGGTTAAGTGGTCGCTATAGAAATGACCTTGAACTTTTACAAACCGTTAAGTACAAGAGCTGGTTGCTTACGAGAGTGGTTACAAGGAGAGCTTCGAATGTAGTTTTTTTTTTTTACTATTTAGATGTACAGTTACTAATAATGGTTCTTATTTTCTTTGTTGGGCCTTTTAGAACTGCTCAAGCAGTCATATTTGTGCTAGACAGTAGTGACAAATTAAGAATGGTTGTAGCCAAAGAAGAGTTAGACATGTTACTTCAACATCCTGGTTAGTCATGAATGTTAGTGTCAATAAAATGTAGTTAATAATGGTAATAGGACTGAGTAGAGTCCAATTCGGTCTGTAATCATACCAGTGATTACACGGTTGTCCGATTTGTTTAACCTCAAGTATAATTAATAATGGTAATAGGACTGAGTGGAGTCCACTTTGGTCTGTAATCATACAAGAGATTCCTTTATTCATTCATTCATTCATTTATTTTTGCCATTAACCAGAAATACAACAACAGTATAAAAATACATTAAAGACAATATTCTAACTTAATTATGTACAAGATCAAATGTTTAAAGTGGTAATGGCAAGGAAGCCTATATAGAAGCCGTATTCCTGGAACTATAGGGTAAACCATGCAAGTTAAGCAGTACTGAATGAAAATTTGGATTTAAAAAAAAAAATAAAGAAAAGAAAAGAAGAGAAGAGAAAAAAGGAAAGAGAAGAAAAGAAAAAGAAAAGGTGTGTAGATCAACAAGTAGAGCTACCGACAATTAATAGATGTAATAACTGCGTTGCCTTGAAGAGATAACGATTAAAACTGTTTTTTAAAACAAAATTTCATCTTTTGCGGGAGCACAGCAAAACACATCCGTATGCATCAGCACCCAACAATGCAGTCCAGAGAGATAAACAAAATTGGATGACTGTGTAGCGTCACAAGTACTAGTATCACGATTATGATAAAAGACCGAATTGGACGACTCGAAGTTCTGTTACCAATTAATCATAACTTTAACAAAATTTGTGATATTTCAGGCTTTTCAAAATCAAAACAGAGGAAATTTTTCTAGCAGTTATTGTTAAAAAAGCCATTTAAGTGCGCTTGTGCGATAGTACGTATTGTCCAGTTGCTTAGGCATGAGGCGTACTGTCCTATTACACTGTCCTATTAGTGCTGAAATCAGGACAGCTGATAGCCAATCAGATTTGAGAATTTTGTTTAAGTTATGATGAAACCTAATAGTTGCAAGTGTTTATTGCGATTAAAAGAACTATGAACACTTTGGTTTGATTTTGTGTCTACATTCTGTTAAATGACAGCATTTTTGAAAAGTGATTTGGCTTTATTGTTTCTTGTACAATTACTAACTCTGACAAATTCATTCTTCTTCAGAAATTACTCAGAGGAGAGTGCCTATTTTAGTTTTTGCAAATAAAATGGACTTGAAAGATTCTCTCTCCCCTGTCCAGGTAGAACAGTTTTTATTCATTTTTTATCTTAAAGGACAGTAATATTTATAATAATTGATACAAATTATGTAAAACATAAAAATGTCCACATTATGTTTTTACAAACCAATATGTACTATTAAATCAATTGCAAAAAAGGATGCTGGCTTTGAAACTAATTGTTTGATTTATTTTCAGTGTTCAAACAAGATGGGTTTACATGATATAACAAACAAACCATGGCATATATGGTAATTACGGCGTCTTATGTAAGATGGCTTGCAATGGCCACTCAATTTAATTTTAAGTTTAATTCATAATTTGGCAGCATTCCAAAGACCTAAAGCATTTAAGAGGTAAGACACTTTAGAATGTGATGCACTGGTCTTAACCCTTTAAGCCCCAATATCCACATACAAATTCTCCAAACTGGTCTCTATACTTTTCCATAAAGAATAAGTTGAGAGAATTTGATAAGAGATCAAAGCATTTTATTTTGGTGATCATTTTATCAGTTCTCACAACCTTTTCTCGTAATTGTGTATTGACATTGTTGGGAGAAGATTGGTGTTTGTCAGTCTCAGGACGTAAAGGGTTACTAGATACTAGGGAAGTAACTTAAAGACAACAACCCAAGAAGAACTGTTAATCAAACCAAAAAACACTTGAAATTGTGGTCAACATTCAGCGTGCAAAGTAGTGTTCAATAGCCCGGGGCTAGTGGATTTTGCTAACGGGATAGTGCTTTCTTTTTTTTAATTTGTCGACAGGCAAGTGATATTTTTTTGAGGAATTCAAATAACAGAAGAACTGTGAAATCAATTCTGCTAGTCAAAAAGTTTTTGGGGCTAGTTGAACTGACGCCTGGGCTAGCAAATGCTAGCTGTAAAAATCATTTTCTTTGCACCCTGACATTATACCAATGTATTTCATCATCAATCTTTCCTTCACGTGAGGTTGTGTGACAATTTTGTCATTCATCACTTGAGGCAAGCATCATCACAGATAGCTTTGATCAGTTCATGGCAATCTGTTACCTTTGGTTTCCATAGTCATGCAACAGTTCCTGTTCAAGATAGAAACTTTGAAAGTCATTATAGTTAAATATATAATTTCTTTTTTTCTTTTGTATATAAAGCACTTCATTTTTGTCCTTTTTTATTTGTAGTGCCAGTAATGCTCTCACAGGGGAAGGACTGAATGATGGGGTTGACTGGCTTACAGGTGGGTGTAACTGCCACATGTGATATAGAAAATTCAGTAATCAGCTCTTGAATACAACCATGTAATAAACCTACAGGTACAATGTTGACTCCAGGCTACAAAAGATTGGTTAACCCATTTGCCCCTGAGCTGCCCGTGCGGATCCACGTCCTTTCTGCCGCTTGTGACGTCATCAGTTTTAACAGTCAAGGACAACTTTGTCCGCTAACTTGTGCGGAGTAAAGAGATCTTTCAAACCTTACCAGAATGAGCACAATTCAGTCAAGGAAACCGGAAAAAAAGGCAAAAAACCATGTAACATTGACCTGAAAAACTCCATGAAAATCTTGTTCCATTGCCGACCTGCCCTTCCTTTCACCTAATCCTAAGATCCTAAAAGCGTTCCTAAAAACTCTTCCCACCAAAATGAAGCCTATTAAATGCCCAGCAAGAGAAAAAAATGAGGCATAAAGGCGAAAAAAGAGGGAAGGAGAGAAAGAAAATATCTCGAAATTTTGCTTTCGGCGCATGCCCGAACTTCGCAAGCTAATATTTTACATCTGGATCAGAAGGCCGTGAAGTTAACGACCTGTAAACGGGTTTGTGGTAAGTTTTAGCTCTTTATAGCACGACAGTGACCGTAAAACCTCTTGACTAGCTTCAAAACGCGTTTTTCGGCAAAATCTTCAGGAGTGAATGGGTTTAATAATAACAATATTATCAAGAATATTGGAGATACCATTAGCAAGTTTGTCATTTTTACTGATTAAATTTGAAAGGTTGTTTAACTTTGAAAGTTGTATAGTTTCTTGATCCTTCTGATAACTGTCATACGTGAAAACAAAACTGACTTTTCTTCTCCAGTGAAACACTTTACCTTCAATTGAACCTCCCTGCAGTTCAAGTCAATTGTCCCCAGGAGTTTTGACTGACAAATCAGCATTCTACTTTTTTTTTTTTGATAATTGCTGATAAAAAGTTCATTCCAAAAATTAAAATCGTGGAATTATCCGGGTCAATTTTTACGAGCAAGATTGCCACTCACTTGGGGAAACTTAAGATCATACAAGTCATAGAGACACTACTGCCAATAATATACTGTATATCTGTAAGAGAAGTAGTACGCATAAAATTGCTTTACCAGTGATGTCGCCGTTAAGCCACAACCGGTGAACAATTCATTGTGGTGCAGCATAAAATTGATTAATTTTTCTTTTCTATTGCAGATCAGATTCGTTCATCATAAAACACCTGTGTGCTTAATTTGCCTTAAATATTAAATACTTTTCAACTTGTACAGCATGGGCGTATTGGTGTGGCTTGGAAGGCAAGAAAATGGTCCCTCAGAGTCACCTATAATGTCAAACTTCAAAACATCATATTTTGTAAATACTTCTAGACTGTTCACAGTCCCCTGTTTTTTCGTTAGATTGTCAGAATCGACCGTTTACCAGTACAGACGGTCATCTTGGTTTCATAATTATGTACCCAGGAGGCGGGCGTCGGGGTTTAAAGCGGTAGGAGGAGGAAGGCGAGAAAAATATTTTTCTCACTTTCTCCTAAACCACCCTCCGCCCCCTAGGTAGTTTTGACACTCATCCAATATGATTTCTCGTAACGCAAAGCGCTCGATCTCGACGATCTTATAGAGGAATAGTTTAGTAAATACTAAAAAACTAGTAGCACGGCCACCATGTGGAAGTGCTGTTGAAGGGTCTCGTTTTACAGACTAAGACATTGGAACCACATACTAAACAAGACGCTATCGGAGCGTACACTTGGGCGTCGTTGTATCTCGCGTATGCAGGGGCAGATCGAATACGAAGAAGAAGGCTTTGACACGGCCATAACATAATGTGAACTACTGAGAAGACATATCAACTGTGAAGCGACTGCACAGTGATAATTAGAAAGCCGCAGGTCATCTCGGGGGGGGGGGGATGCACACCCCCTGCACCCTCCCCTTAGATCCGCCCTTGGTATGTGAGGATTATTTGCGTCAGGCACGTGTGAGTGTTGCAATTTTGTTAATTGCGAAGAGTTGTCTGAAGTGGAGACGTGGAGCCATAGTGGACGTTGCTTAGTATGTAAATACTTCGAATTTTCCTCGGAATTCCTAACTTAATGCATCAGTCAAATCCAACTGCGCCCAGTCCCCTCCCCCGGGCTACTTGCGGGGAATTTGCCTGCCTTGTCAGTCCCGGGGGTGGGGCGTGGGCAGATTTTGCGTGCCCCGGGGTCGGGAATTTGCCTTTCTCGGGGCCATCCCCGAGCTTTTGACACGAACGGGGTTTCCTATCCTAAACATGGAGGATTTTACTGGAAACACAAGCAGATTAGCAGATTGGTTTATCTAGGACCCGAAAAATTTGCAGAGGATTTTAGAGGCATGTTTTTTTCAATTTTATGAATGCATTTCTTCATTACTTATCACTACAGAAATTACACTGCGAAATCGGTAGCTATCGATGTACGTGAATCGACGTTTTTTAATGAATCAAATTTCTTTCGATCTAGCGGATTTGAATAAAATTTAGGGTAATGATTTTAATACTTCTTTGATCATGTATGATCAATCTATTATTTGAAGAACTTTCTTTCATATTATTAAACTATTCATAACGTATAGCTTTATACACTATTATTGATTTCAATTTTATTGCCCATTTTAGATTATTGCCTACGAACTATTCAGTTAGAACAAGATAACAATGATAAAATAAGAATCATGAATGGCTTTGTCGCGGCTTAGCACTACTAATAATATATAGAACTCGAAGTGATCTCGAGATATCTCAAACTAATTCTGCTCTCACTTCGTCAAATAGCCAACTTAACCCGAAAACGCACGGACTTTGCGTGCCCAATCTTGTCCCCGTAAAAAAGCAACTTTGGGACATTCGTGAGCGTCGCAAATCCTGTACTTGGCGCTTCGCCCAAGTAATAAATAGTTCCATGAGAAAGGACTTCTGATCGGAAGAGATTTCAAAGGCCACACTAAAGGATTTCATCCACAGATTCAAAAGTTTTAAAAAAGCTACATATTTAATAAATAGTGGTGCCATATGAAAGTACTATTGACAGAAGAGATTCATTTGAACGTTAACACCATAGGATTTCATCCACATACTCAAAATTTAGAACTACAGCCATACTAAATAAATAGTACCACATGTAAGTACTGCTGAACAAGAAGTTTCATTTGAATGTTAACACCATAGAATTTCATCCACAGAAGTTAGAACAACATAGTTTGTAAGTAAATAATAGTACTGTGAGGAGTGCGGTGAACGAATTTGTGAACACAGAAACGTATACAAACACAACAGTTCAACAAGTAGCCTTGTGTAATACGCCATTTGCACGGTGGCGCCCCGGTGACTCGCAGTATGGTGAGCTCTTAGTGCCCTCTCTTGCAAGTTTATTGGAAGGATGATCTGGTACTTGGTTCTGGAATCTGTGCGAGATTCTTCACGATTCCAAATAAATTACAAAAAATAACGAACAGATAAAGGACTAAAATGAATAGAAAACCTCCGCTAACTTGCTGATGTCCTCAACAATAACAAGTTAGCGGAGGAGGATTCCGCATTTGCTTTGCGCTCCAGCTTTTTCTGGAAAACCAGAATACGTTGCATATTATTTTCGATCAGAAGATCAGTCTCCTTCATCCAACTCGTCGACAAAATGTTGTACAGCAAAGCGTTCTTGCATGCATAGGGACACGTTCAATCCTAGAGAATAGTCCTTGGGACAGTACTGCTATATTAATATTTTGCTGCAGGAGCCTGTTTGCTGTCATTTCTCGGTTCCCTCTTAAAACAGGGCGTCCTTTTCTAAATTTTCTTGCAGTTCTCCCTCACCCGACCCTATACAAAGTTGAAACTCGGAAAAAATTCTGGATACACGCGTCCAACATTGTTTGTGGGGTTTGGGGGGAGGGGGTTGGACCTGTGTGAATTGGAAAACGCCCCAGAAGTGAAATCCCTTTTTTGTCCTAAAACCCATCCTGCATAGCAGACATTCGAAAGAGAAAGGGAAGGTGGCAAGTCCCTCAGTTACTTTGCTTGCCATTATCCTCACCTATTTTATGTTCAATTTCTACTTACAACATCCCCCGCACACACCATCTACTCCTTCACTCACTGATTCTATCAGTCGGCGGAACCCATGTATTTGGCGATCCCTTTCCCAACACCCGGCAAGCCACAAAGATACTATACGGGTTATTCAAAATCTGTAAAATCACTCTAATAGGACTGTTTAGCTTGTGGCGTTTTGCATTCCCAGTGATACTCTAGAGAACTGTTTCATTCAAATATCGTCTTAGGGCCTGTTTACATGGAGAGGGGGACCCCGGTCTAGTGGGGTTGGTTTCTTTTGTTTTCACGTTCTGGGAGACACAAAACAAAAGAAACTTACCCCACTAGACCGGGGTCCCCCACTCCATGTAAACAGGGTCTTATTCCCGTGCCCATGAAAAGGACAAAGGGGTAAATTCCCCTGAGACACTTACTGGGAAAACAAAACATACAATCTAAAGAGGTCTATTCACATTACCGAAAGCACACATAACACCTGTACATCGTGTAAGGATGCTTTTATTTTTTCAATTTTTGACTCGTTACATTTTTAATAATTAAAATAACTAAACGTTCAAAAGTTTTTTCATTACCTATTAAATAGGTGCAATACTCGATTTAAAAAAATAGGCGCATCATAAATACAACTAGTCGTGTGATGGCTCATTGTTGGAAATGTACAAATGGACAAAAAACACAATCGCCCATCGGGTTAAATAACGGACATCAAATAAGACAAAAGTACCGTACAGTCGACTCCCTTTTAACGGACACCTCTATAAGACGGACACCTCAGTAAAACAGACACCTAGAGTTGGTCCCGGCTGCCTTTCTTTGCTTCCTTTATTTGACTCTCTATAGGACGGACATCACTGTAAGACCGACACTTAGTGCCTTACCAAAGGTGTCTGTTCTAGAGAGAGTTCACTGTATTCACAGACTTTTTGTCTCCTCCTTAACGT